CTAGGTGCTTCTTTAACAATTTGCTCTGTTTCTTTTATTAACATGTGTCAGTGAAGGTTTCCTATCTATTTAGGGGGTCCATTTTGGTACATTGCATTTTCCTGGAAAATTGTGCATATGCTCCAAGTTATCACCATCAAAACTTAGAATATGCCCAGACATTTGAAAAAGAAAACCTTTTTTAAAAAAAATCCCTAGTTTCAGCTGAGCACCAGTGGCTCACACCTGTAATCATAGCTACTCAGGAGGCTGAGATCTGAGGATCATGGTTCAAAGCCAACCTGAGCAGGAAAGTCCCCATGAGACTCTGATCTCCAATTAACTGCCAGAAAACTGGAAATGGTTCTGTGGCTCAAATGGTAAGGTGTTTCCCTTGAGCTGAAGAGCTCAGGGACAGTGCCCAGGTCCAGAGTTGAAAACCCACAACTGACAAAAAAAAATCTCTAGTTTCTACTTGATCCACAAATTCCTCTGAGTCTTCCCCTAGCTTGTAGCACCAGTCACTTATGTACTAAAGACAGAAATCTCAGAGATGCCCTAATTCCCTTCCATTCTTCATGACTTCCATCTCTCCAGTGTATACTAAACTCCAGCTCCAAAACACATCTGCCTCTCTCATTCTCTCCTCTTGTGTCCTGCTTCCTACCACTATCTTGACCTAAAGAATAGAGCCAAGCTCTCTTCTGTTCCTCACTTCTCAACCAATTCTCAATAAACACTGAGAATGGCTTTCTTAAAGTAAAAGCTAGCTTATTTTCTCCCCATCCCCACTGCCTTTGTTCCAAACCCAGGCATATTCCCACCAGTCACCCTTAATAACTCCTCAAAATGGGCCCCATGGACAAAGGAAGACTACTATACTCCTAATTGAAATTGAAATGGTTCCCCTCCCACCTGCTGCTTCTCAAAGACCTCAGCTTCTCTCCCACCTCACTTCATTGTTTAATGTCACAAATTACCTCATCTTCCATGTCAGTTTCCAGAAGAGGTCACACCTCTGCCCTCTATCAATGTGAGATAACTCAAGGTGACCTGCAATTACTTTGTTTACTTGTCCTGTTTCTGACTTCCTTCAGAAAAAATTTCAATATATTTTTATTGTTATTGTAATGGTGATGTAAAGAAAGGCTACAGTTACATAAGTCAAGTGATGAGTGCATTTCTTTTTGAACAATGTCACCCTTTCCCTCCCTTTCTCCAAGCTTTTCCCTCCTGTCCCCACCCACAAGTTGTATAGTTCATTTTCAACATAGTATCTAGTGAGTACCACTGCTGCATTGTTTGTTTGTTTACCCTCTGTCCTACCCTTTCTGTGCACCCTTACCCTCCCAAAGACAGATAAACTAACAAACAAGACATAAAGTACAGAAAAACAACAACAAAGGAAAAAACTCATGTCCATTTCTTAGAGTTCATTTTGATAAATATGATTTTATGTGATCATATGCATATAGCAATTGAGCCTTTGTGATCCTCTCCTAAGAATATCCTCCTTTAGTCTCACTGTGTGAATGTTTAGAGACCTGTAGATTTTATCATGCTCAAGTGTATTTTTTTGTATTTTTTAATATCCAGTGTGTTTATGGGGCTAAAGACTTAAAGAGAGACTTCTCAGAAGAAGAAATAAGAATGCAAATCAATACAAATCAAAACAACATTGAGATTCCACCTCACACCAGTTAGAATGGCCATTATCAAGAAAAGTAACACTGTCAGATGCTGGTGAGGATGCGGCCAAAAGGGAATGCTACTACACTGTTGGTGTTTAACCACTCTGGAAAGCAACATAGAGGTTCTTCAAAAGACTAAACATAGAGCTTTCCTATGACCTAGCAATTCCACTCCTGGGCATTTATCCAATAGACCACAAACAAGGCCACACTAAAGCTACCAGCACAACCATGTTCATTGCAGCACTGCTTACCATAGCCAAGATATGGAATCAACCCAGGTGCCCCTCAATGGACAAATGGATCAAAAAAAATGTAGTAAATACACATAATGGAATTCTACTCTTCCATCAGAAACTATGATAGGGTACCATTTGTAAGGGAATGGGAAGACTTGGAAAAAATATATTAAGTGAAGTAAGCTAGACCCAAAGAAACATAGGTGGCATGGTCTCCCTCATTGGTTATAACTAGAATGTGCCTATAAATCTATAAATAAACACCCAGCTGTGGTATATTTGATACAGGGTAGGCACTGGGTTAGGAATACTGAATGATTCAGACCAGAGGAGTAGTTTCTAGGTTGGAAGGGAGCTCATCTGTGGAGATGCAGTCTGTACTAAGCATGAGGATATTTTTCAGTGCTTTCTTCCCCCCACCCCAATTCATATTGAACAACATAAACAAGCACCTACCTGAGGGATGCAAACCAGGCCTCAGGTTCTTTACAGAGGTTTAGTTGGGTTAAGCCTGGAAGAAATTGGTCCATTCTTATTATATCCATATTAGGCATTTTTAAAAACAAAAACATATATCTATGAGTTCCAGTTCACAGATCATTACACTGCTTGATAGTGGATAGAGGCTCTGTGGTATTCTATTAATATTCTCACTTCACTCTGTCTTATGGAAAGTCCCAGTCATTACAACCAGCACCTAAATCCCCAGGAGGCATCTCATGACTCCTATTCAAAGCATTGAGTCCTTCACTCTGGCAGCTCTAGGTTAGGGCTGAAATAATCTTATCTGAGAGAAGTATTTTTCATTTCTGACCAAATATGCAAAACCATCACTGAGATAACATGACAGAGGAGGGGCTGTAGCTACTTGTGTGACTCTCGATCTTGAGATTTTGTGATCCTCAGTGTTGACCTCAGATCATAATATTCCTGTCTATACAACCTAGATAGCTGGGCTTTCAGGCATGTTGTACCATGTCAGACTGGTTTGTTGAAGTGTGGGTCCTGCTAACATTTTGCATGGGCTGTCCTTGAAATGTGATCCTCCTATGTGATTCTATGTGTGAGTTGATGGAATTATAGGCATACACCACTCCTCCCAATTCTATTTTAATTAATAATGTAGCCAAAGCTACTTGAGGATCCTCAACATATAGTAATTGAATGAGAAGCCCTGATTCAAAGACGTTTGAGATTAACTCACAATCACAGGCATTCAGTGAAGATGTTTTAAAGAGATATACTACCTCCATCATATCTAATGCTCCATAGAGGGTTATAACTGTAAAAAGGTATTTTTTTTGTTTCATTTTGGTCAGTCATGGGGCTTGAACTCTGGGCATGGGTGCTGTCCCTGAGCTCTTCAGCTCAAGGCTAGTGTTCTACCACTTGAGCCACAGTGCCACTTCCGGTTTTCTGAGTGGTTCATTGGAGCTAAGAGTCTCATGGACTTTCCTGCCTGGGCTGGCTTTAAACCGTGATCCTCAGATCTCAGCCTCCTGAGTAGCTAGGATTACAGGTGTGAGCCACCGGCGCCTGGCTTTGTAAAACGTTTTGGAAAATGGTCCTTACAGGCATCCTCATTATTATGACATGGAATAAATAGTAGGATAGGTTAACAAGTCTTAAAAGAATCCTTCTGCTTGAAATATACAGTAAAAATCATAATACAGCCAATCCTTGATCTAATTTATTTGTGCTTGTGGGAAAGTAAGTTTTTCCCATTACAAATCATGTAAGAACCCTTCTGATTACTCTAGTAGGAGCACTAGGGCTTTCCCCAGAGCAGAAACAGAGGTGCAGACTTTGCTCTCCATTCCCCACATGGGTTGTAGATAACATTCCAAATCTTTGGGAGCAGCAGCTTCAGCTGTTAAACTGACAAATTAGACTAGAAAAATGCATAACCAAGTAAATCCATGTGTTATTTTTTTAATTTATATAGGCAGGACACAGTAGCTCATATGTGTAATCCTAGCTACTTAGAAGGTAGAGATTAGAAGGGTGGTGTTTTAAGTCATCCTATCTCAACCTATCCTTAGTGTGGCAGCATGCACCTACATTTGAAGTAGAAATAGGGGGATCACAGTCCAAACTGGCCCAAGCAAAAACATGAGATTATCCCCAAAACAATTAAAACAAAAAGTGCTGGGGTCTATGCTTAAGTGGTAAAATGGTCTGCCTAGCAAGCACAAAGGCCCTGCATTCAAATCCTGAGACCACCAAAGTGAGTGTGTGTGTGTATACATATGTATTTATGCATATATTTAACATATGCATATATTTTTATGAAAAATATATTGATATTATTCTATCAAGGATATAATAGGGGAAGGTGGCTCAGTGGTAGAGTGCTTGCCTTGCATGAGGTCCTGGGTTCAATTCCTCAGCACCACATAAGCGGAAAAAGTTGGAAGTGGTGCTGTGGCTCAAGTGGTAGAGCGCCAGCCTTGAGCTGAAATGCTGAGGAACAGTGTCCAGGCCCAGAGTTCAGGCTCCAGGACCGACAAAAAAAAAAGGATATAATAAAGTACATTACTAAAATCACTAAGTATTTATGCAGAAATGTAAATCTACTCATGTTATTTTTAAAATAATTTGGAACAAAAACAAAAAAATCACAGAAATTTGGATGTTTCTGTAATATCAATTTTGGACTTCCTGTCTGATGTTCTTTTTATTTTATTTTATTTTATTTGGTTCCGGTCGTGGGGCCTGAAATCTGGGCCTGGACGCTGTCCCTCAGCTCTTCAGCTCAAGGCTAGCGCTCTACCTCTTGAGCCACAGCACTACTTCCAGCTTTTTTCTTTTTGCTTATGTGGTGCTGAGGAATCAAACCCAGGGCCTCAGGCATGCAAGGCAAGCGCTCTACCACTGAGCCACCTTCCCAGCCCCTGCCTGATGTTCTTAAGCCAGGGGGCATCGTTGGAGACGACCCGAGCAAGTGGCCAGTCTAGCAGGATGCAGCGCTTTGGACTCTGAGATGAGTTTTGACCTCCCCACCCACACATAGGCCAGCAAAAGCAGTCAGTACCTCCTACATCCATCAAAATACTCCCAGAAACAAGAGGGTTTTTAAAAAAAGAAGAACCTTAGTGCTTGATGGTCACAAAATGACTTCAGATCCGCAGACTGTCTACTCCAAAACTCCTACGATTGAACAAAAGGTTTAGGATAGTTAACACACACTTGCCTAAGAAAGACTGTCTCCAAACACAAAGAACATCCCAAACCAAAGAACTCACCAGCGCCTCCTTCTCAAGGAGTTGTAGAGCCTGAATATCCTTTTCCAAATCTTTGAACTCTTGAAGAACAGAACTGTGAAATGCCTCTAGTTTGTTCAGTCTGATAATGTACAAGTAACAGATGTCATTGAAACTGCTGTGTGTAACCAAAGGCAAGCTTTGTCAATTGTCTCATTACAGAACTACTCGTGTTTGCGTTCTCCTCCCTTCCCTCCACACCTGCTAATGTCCAACCCCTGAAGTCCAGTGCCATGAAGTCCTGTTCGCCTTCCCAGAGGAAGCTGGCAGATCCACACTTTTCTTATATAGCACAAGACAGATAGTCCCAGAGAAGAGGCAATGGCAGTTCAGCATCCTCTCTACATCCATCACCTATCAACCTTTCTGTTTGGCCTTAGGGTGACCTTGAAAGCTATGGGTCAGGCCAGAGATGAGGTCATATACCCTTCTCTACCTCTGTGCTTTAGATCTAACAGACGCAACATTCCAACTATTGTCTTTCTGGTGTTTGTTGCCACTGTGTTTGTTTCTCAACTGCTTGCTTGCTTGCTTTTTGTCTTTCTTTGCCATTAGACTGAGTGTTCTAGGAAGACAAGAGCTCCCTTGTTTGGATGTTGAATGTGCCATCATGGCCATGTGTTAAAGGCTTAATCCCAGAGTGGCACTACTGAGAGGTGGTGGAACCTTTAAGAGGTGGAGCCTCGTTGAGAGGTCTTTAGGTCCTTGGGGTTGTGCCCTTGAATGGGGCTATTGGACCAGCATCTTTGATTGCTTTCATGTCCTGGTTATGGATAAGTGTTTGTTTTCTTCTGCCAGGCTTACCCAACATAAGTTGTCTCCCTCCTCAAGCCCAAAGCAATAAGGTCAATGCATCATGGACTGACTGAAACCAGTGTCCAGACAGACACTGAACCAAATAAACTTCTTCCCTTTATAAGCTGATTAACCCACTGATTTATTAATAACCAGAACACTGACCAACAAGCAGGAGTCACTTCTGTCTTACAAGTATGCTGTGTCCATAGTGTTGCTTGGGGTGCATTTATAGACTGAATATGTAGCTGAGCAGAAGTTCCTGAGATATAACACGAACTCTACCAACATCCTTCAAGAGCTTGCTTGAACAAGTGACATTGCATATACATAAAAGCTTGACAGAAAAGGTCAGATAAGTTGATGTTGGGCAAAATGAACCCCAAGATAAGGACTCAAGTGGTTTTTCTTTCTTGCTATTGTTTCTAACATATTTATAAGGTGATTTTTTTTGTTGTTTTGTATGTCCCTCCCCCACGGTATAAACCCGTTTTCACTGTATTTGATGTTAGTATAATTTGGGGAGTGTAAGGGAAAAAATTGTTTCAATAGGGATACAGGTGGGCCCATTGCAACAATGAGATGTACAAGATGTTATGTCAAAAACCGAACTTTACAACTTTGTGGGGGTGGAGTGTAGTCGTGGAGATGGGAGGGCAGGGATGGTAAGGGAAAAACAAAGGTGGAGGCAACAATGCTTGATAAGAAATGTACTCATTACCTTGCCCATGTAATTGTAACCCCTCTGTACCATATTTTCACAATAAAAACCTTAAAAAATAGATGTTTCTATTAAAATCATGTATTCCACCCTAAGAGACTGGCTACTTCAGCTTGCCCAACTGACATACCATCCTTTCCTTCCTTCCTTCCTTCCTTCCTTCCTTCCTTCCTTCCTTCCAGGTAGGCCATACTTACCAAAAAGTAGCAATTTCTATACTTGCTTCCTCTGAACAAGAAAACATCACTCAGGAGACACTTCCACTGCTATTATCTGAATTTAACTCTAATCACTATGGAAACTCATCCCCCTCCCATTTCCGGTCCCTAACCTTGCCCCTACCCTCTGCAGTCTAGCTATCTACATACTGCTTGCTATATAGCTATGGTGGCGGGTAGAATGGGGAATGTGTGCACAGTGCACATGATTTTATTGTAGTGTAATACACATAATCCATGTTAAGTGTGGGATTTCATGGCATTAAGTACATTCACAATGCCCATCATCCCAGATGTCTTACCCATCAAATAATAATTGTCCCTTCCTTCAACCTCTAGAAACTTCTTTTGTGTCTGTCACTATGTGTCTTTTCACAGACTCTTCAGGGTACCTTATCTAAGTGGAATAACACAATATTTTTCTCATATTCTTTTCATTTGTGTTGCAGCATGGGTCAAAATCAAATTCCTCTTTCAGGCTGAATGACATGCTATGGTATTGCCACACCATTCAGCATTTATCCAGAATTTTAAAATATACATCCATGCTTGCTCTGTCTTCACACGTGAATTATAATTCTGTGTGTACCAGTGCTAGGGCTTGCACTCAAGGTCTCTGATACATGAAGATCTTTTTCTCTCAAGGCTTGTGCTCTACCACTTGGGTCATACCTTCACTTCCAGGTTTTGGCTATTTAACTGTATATAAGAATCTCATATTGGGTGCCGGTCGCTCACACCTATAAGCCTAGCTACTCAGGATGCTGAGATCAGAGGATCGCGGTTCAAAGCCAGCCTGGGCAGGAAAGTCCGTGAGACTCTTGTCTCCAATAAACCACTAGAAAACCAGAAGTGGCGCTGTGGATCAAGTGGTAGAGCGCTCACCTTGAGCTGAAGAGTGCAGGGACAGTGCCCAGGCCCAGAGTTCAAGTCCCATGACCGACCAAAAAAAAAAATGAATCTCACAAAGTTTCCTTCCTAGACTTGCTTCAAACCAAGATCCTCCCATCTCAGCCTCCTGGGTAGCTAGTATTATAAGCAAGAGCAAGCAGCTCCCAGCTGTAAATTATAAAAAAAAAAAAAATTAAGAACAGAATTTTAGAGCAGAAATAGGGGGATCTTGAGTTCAAAGGCCCACCTGGGCAAAGTTAGTAAGACCAAACAATTAAAAATTTAAAACAGAATTTTTTAAAGACTGGTGGTAGTGGGGAGATGGACTAGAGTAGAACTCAAGCAGTAGAGCACTCCTAGTGAGCATGACGCTCAGGGTTCAATCCCCAGTACCACATATACAGGCCAATGAGAGCCTTAGGAGAACACAGCATTCAGTCCTCACCTTCTGGATGGAGAATGGGCCACCTAAAGGGAACTCTGGGTATTGGTTCCTTAGGCCAACATAACACTGGTGGGATGATTGTGGTTTGTGAATGATCATACTTCTGTGGATTTCTTTTGAAACCCAGTACTTACCTGCACAGGAATATCTGGTCTAAAAGTTTGATTAGGCAATCGGGTGCTTTCTTTGCCTTTTCTGAATAAGGTGGAGTCATTCTGTGCCTAAGCTAAAAGATATGAACAAAAATAAAATGATCACATTTGGGTAAGACATGACTACAACATTGAGTTGCATTGCATTAAAGCTGATCACCAGCTCCATAATATTCACAACAAACATTACAGCTAAGGAACAGTACATTGTTCTATGCTCCTTTTAGATATTACCTAGGGTTTGGGTGTTTTTGTTTTTGCTTTTTTGTCAGTTATGTGGGTTGAACTCAGGGCCTGGGCACTGTTTCTGAGCTTTTTTGCTCAAGACTAACAACCACTTTGAGGCACAGTGCCACTTCCAGTTTTCTGGTGTTAATTAAAGAGTCTCATGGCCTTTCCTGCCCAAGCTGGCTTTGAACCACGATTCTCAGATCTCAGCCTCCTGGGTAGCTAGTGTTATAGGAGTAAGCCACAGCACCCAGTCTAGGTTTTATATTACAGAGGTCAAGAGAAAATAGAGAATATACATCATGCTACCCATATACATATTGAACACTATGAACACATTTCCATCGTAAAACTGGTTCATATTGGTATGGCAGAAAAATAAGACTTTAAAACTTTCTTCCAAGGTAACTCAATCAGTGTTGGCTAGGGTAAGATATTTTTCTCAAAGGTGCTAATATGTACATCATTAGGGACTTGCAAATAACAAGGCAAAAACGGAGGCACCTGAAATGGCCATGTTCATCTTGCAAACAAGGCTCTGAAGCACCTTATATGCTCCGTGTTCCCAAGGGAGTCCTTCCTCAACTGACACCCACCACATCTGCCACCTCCTACCCTGAGTCCTGTCCTCCACACCTGACCCAAGGTCTTTTCCTCTGTCCCTACTCCTTGTCTGTTACTGTGACCAAATCTTTGCTACTAATGAAAGCAACTGGAGCAATCCATCAAGGGACAAAACTAGGATGGTAGAAAAAACAAATATACCTTCTAAAGACTCAAGAGCATCTTCATGTACAAGGATTACGGTACAACTAATATAGGAATTTCCCGTTTCAAACTCATAATGAGTTAATTTTTCTTTCTTTTTCCTTGCCTACCTCCAACGTTATGTATTTATTTTGTGTATACCTGTACTGGGACATGAACTCAGGGTCTGGGTTTTGTCCTTAGCTTTTATCCCTCAAAGCTAGTGCTGTACCTTCTCTTCTGGATTCTTGGTGGTCAATTTGAGATAAGAGTATCACAGACTTTCCTGTCTGAGTTGGCTTCAAATCAAGATCCTCAGATCTCAGCTTCCTGAGTAGCTAGGATTACAAGACTGAGCCACTGGTGCCTGACCCCAACCAGCTTTGATGAGGTATAACTGGCAAAAAGAAAGTGTTCATATTCAAGGGCTACACATGATATTGTATCATACATATACATTGTAAAATGGTAACTGAAATGGTTACCATCACCACACATAGTTATCTTCATATTAAAGATCTACTGACTTCTCAGACATTGAGAACAGATTATTTTTAGCCATGTCTCCATGCTCTGCTTACTCATTGTATGGCTGAAAGTGTGTACCCTTTAACCTACTTCCCCCTATTTCTCTCATGCTTCTGAGCCCTGCTCACTACTATTCTTTTTGCTGCTTCTAATCCAAGTTTTTTAGAGTGGGGGGGGGGGAAGCTAGGCACCAGTGGCTCATCCCTGTAATCCTAGCTACTCAGGGTGCTTAGGTCTGAGGATCATAGTCTGAAGCCAGTCCAAGAAGGAAAATCCTTGAGACTCTTATCTCCAATAAACCACAAAAAGCTGGGTGTGGCACTGTGGCTCCAGGGGTAGAGTGCTAGCCTTGGGAAAAAGCAGCTCAGGGACAGCACCCAGGTCCAGAATTTAAGCCCCTGGACCTGGAGGTGGGGGGAAGGTGAGAGGGTTAAAAAAAGTAATAGAGGGGTGACTTTTATTGAAATATTTTATATGCACATATGGAAATATCATGATGAAACTCTTTTGTGCACTGACTATATACTGTTTTTTTAAAAGAGAGAATCAAGGATCCCAAGGGGGGAAAATCGAGATCATGCAGTATTTGCCTGGATCATTTGATTCCCCATCACCCCTTCTGGGTCCCTAGTGAGCTTCTTTTTTCATTTTATTACCTCGTGTCTTTTTTTCACTTCACTAGTGAAGTTTTCCAGGGCTGTTACAAAAGCAGAACCATTCAAGTCCTCTGGCTCTTCTTCTGAGGACGAAGGAAAAATGCCTAGTAAATAACAGCAATAAAATATTTTTTAAAAAAAACAACAACTAAAACTGTGTTTGAAGTAGACAAGCTTGGTCCATCCGCTGGTTGGAGGATGGAACAATCTGTCAGAAGCCCTAGTACACCCCACTAGCTGCCTAGACCTCACCGTGGAGCAACACTGACAGCAACTGTTACAAGCGGTATTCTTAAAAACAATGGTTAGAGCATGCCAGTAGGGACAACTTGGGATAGCAGATTCATTCTAGGTGTTGGTTTCACAAGGGTTTAGAGGTATCTGTTCTAAATGTTTTTCATCCATCTGAGGATTTTGTTCCTTATCAAAACCACGTGACTGGGGGCGGGAAATGATGGAAGGGGTGACACTCATCAGGATGCATTGCACTCACAAACTGACATACTGAATTGAAACCCTTTTGCAGGACTATTTAAGTAGAATAAAAAATTAATTTATAAAAACATCAAACGTGAATTAGAAACTGCCAGGGTCCACATTGGACACAGAAACCATGTCACTTGCACAAATTCACACCAGCAGTGGCAGGCTTTGAACCCAGGATGTGAACCTACCGCTGTGTGGTGCCTCTAGACCTCCAAATTTACCTTTCTCAAAACATGTGATGCCATTCATGCAGGCCAGCCCCACCCATACACAAATTTTAAATCATTCTCTTTACTTGATATAGCTTAAATAAGTATAAATGAATTTAATTGATATCATAAGTCAATTTAATTGGTATGGACTAATTTAATTAGCATGGATTTAGTCAATAGCCATCAGATAAGCAGAGCAAGACCCACAGCTTTGCAATGCTTAGGCCTTGAAGGTGGCCACAAAGCAAAGGGGCAGCCACGCAGATGTCAGCGTGGGAGGCTGGCTTCTTTTATCTACAACTTGTGCAACAATTTGCTTTCCTCTTAAAGAACAAAAGGCTCCGTTTGAAGGCCTTCCCAGCCACAGGACCTGCAGGATGTAACTCCCTTGCAATTCACAGAGGCATATTGCACGCAGATATGTCTAACAGTGGGGGGATGTGAAGTTACCTTCCAAATCGGGGGATCCTGGAGCCTCTTCTTCCAATCTTGACTGCTTTGGCTGAGCCAAACTCCCATCTGGCATGTATAAAAGCAAACATAGCACACTGGTGCCTCTTATCCCAAATTTATCTTGTCCTCTTTTCACACCTTGACATTCTACAAGCGGATCTCATCCCTTGTCTGTTACAAATTACTAAGCAGAGCCTAAATAGAAAAGCTGATTTTACACACACACACACACACACACACACACACACACACACATATCTGCTGATGCTTGAAGTAGTTCCTAAAGGGATAAGCAACCATTTGATGAGCTGGAACATTCTGCTTAGCAAAGTACAGACAGACTTGATAAACGTAGTGTTCTTAAAAAGCAGTAACCATGGGCTTTAAAAAATATTTTCAGGACTTTACAACTTTGGTGCGGGGGGGGGGGGAAGAATTGGGTGGGAGGGCGGGGGGGAGGTTGGGAAGGGATGTGGATGTGAAGGGTAAACAAAAGAGGAGGCTGCAATGCTTGATAAGAAATGTACGCATTATCTTGCCCATGTAATTGTAACCCCTCTGTACAGTATGTTCACAAAAAAATAAAAATAAAAAAAGAATTATATCATATTTGTCCAAAAAGAAATGTATTCTTTACCTGACATGGAGCCATAGCAACCCTGTATATCATCTTTATAATAACAATTAAACATAAAATAAATAAATGAAGCTCCTAAAAAAAAATATTTTCAGGGCACCCAGCTAAATTGCAGAGTATCACTAGGACTTGAACTCAGGACACTGAACTCTCATTACATTTTTTTTAACTCTCACTTGTTTTTTTTTGTTGTTTGTTTTTGCTTATAGCTGGCACTCTACCAGATGAATCACACTACCAGTTCCAGCTTTTTGCTGCTTAACTGGAGATCAGAATTGCACAGATTTGTCTGTTCTGGGCAGGCTTTGAACTGTGATGCTCAGATCTCAGCCTCTTGAGTTGCTAGGATAACAGGTGTGAGCAATGAGTGAACGGCTTCTGTCTTCACATATCATCGAGTAACCGCTGTTTCCTCATAAAGTCCTGGGATGTGATTTCTATCATTCGCTCAGTGGGAATGCTGGTGTGAGTGTGGGGAGCTGTAAGATGCGGTTGGCAGACAGTGGAGGAGCAGAGGGCAGGTGCTGTTCCTTCACTCTGTTCCTGCTGCCCTGCTCTCCTTCAGGTCACCAACTGTCTGAAGTACATTCTCATCTCAAGACCTACGGACTTCGGGGTTCCTTCTGATTGGAGCATTTCCCCCATACAACTGCACTAACGCTTTCTTTGGACACTAACCTAAATTTTCAATACAGTACCCATTTCTTTCTTTCTTTCTTTACTTTTTTTTTTCTTTTTTGGTCAATCACAGGGCTTGAACTCAGGGCCCCTGGGCACTGTCTCTGAACTTTTTCACTCAAGGCTAGCCTGGAGATGGAGATTCTGGAGCATATAGAACCCTTCTTTGAAGCACACTGAAGCACAATGCTTGTATTACTCCCACTGCACTGAAGGCCTGGCTCTTCAAAGAAAAGAGACCTTCTCCACAGGAGCAGGAACTATGTCAGGAAAGGATGTGAGTCCTACATGGTGTCACTGACTTGTTTGTTTCCATAGTAACACATGGGTAGGCAAGGGGAGGGCTCCACAATTAAAACAGCTTTATTTGCATAATGGTTCCAAGGAAATGTGGCCAGTGTATACATTCTCTTCTGCTCTGAACGCAATCCCAGGCCTCTCCCTTACCCCATCTCCATGCTCTTTCACTCTGACTCATCACAGACCTGCAGATTTTTTTTTGTATGCTTCTTTTAGGTAGCAATTTCTCAACATTCTCACACAAGGGCTAAAACTCCCAGGTGCCATGGCTAATGCCTGGCATCCTAACTGCTTAGGAGACTGAGATCTGAGGACTGTGCTTTGAAGGCAGCCTAGGCTCGTACCACCAATTACCAAAAAGCTAGAAGTAGAGATGTGGCTCAAGGTGCAGAGCACCAATCTTGACTCAAAAGCTAAGGGACAATGGTCCAGGCCCTGAGTTCAAGTCCCAGTACTGGAACAAACAAAATAGAGGATGCTAAAGCTATATAAACCACCTTAAAAAGTAAACAGAGTAGCCATACAAGTGGTCACAGAGAATGCTAGCTCTGAGTGTGTGCTGGGAGGATCTTACTTCCTCAAGAACTCGGCTTTTTGCAGTTCCATTGAACATTTTGCCACCCAGAGAACTCTGCACTTACCTGACCTACTGGGCACAAGTTTAATGAAGAGTTACACGTTACATTTTGCAACTCTTACGTCCCTAAAAGCCACTTTTGAGGACAGGACCAATACTATAGTTAATAAGCAAGGGTCCTAAGTTAGGGCATTTTAAAATCTTGTTTTGAAGTGACACCTTGTGGCATAGAATGATAAAGGCCAACAGTGTGTGACAAGCCAGAATAGAGTTCTTTACAAAAGATCTTGGGGGGGGGGGGGAAACTATACTAAGCGAAGGGAGCCAGATCCAGAAAAATATAGGTCACATAGTTTCCCTCATTTGTGGTAGCTAGAACGTGCCTATAAATCTGAAAGCAAACACACTGGATGGTAAGCAAGGTGTTACCAATGAATTAACTGAAGGGTAATGGGCTCTAGGGACAACATAAATAGTATAATTTTTTTTAAAGACTAAGTCAAAACCCAACAAAATAAGTACCAGGAAATGGGTACTTGCAAAGGGGGAATGGAGGGCTGAGAGGGGAAGAAGAATGAAGGGGGAAGTAGGGAGAATTCAGGCAAGAACTTATTGTATATACCACAGAATTGAGAACTGTAAGGAAAAGGGGAGGCCAAAGAGGGGAGTGTTAAAGTGACACCTTATACATATAAACTGATTTGTTAAAGTGCAAAAAATTCAATATACAAGCTAAAAGTAAGATAAGCCAGGGAAGGGGAAGGTTGGGAAGGGTAGATGGGACTACTGAAAGGGATGACATTGATTCAAGATGCACTGTATTCTAAACTGTTTCAGTGAATGGCAACTCCTTTGTACACTAATATAATCTATATTATACATTTTATTGTTATATGTTATATAAAATATAAACATATAATATTAATATATTATGAACTTAATAATACTAGGATCCGAGAAGCAGAAAAAAGCATAATAAAATTGTTGAAAGCAAAAAGAAAAAGATCTTCGATATGATAGGAAGAGCTCTTTCCTAATGCCAATGTCTTTTTTTATTCTACCAATGTTTCTTAAGAGCTGATAACATACAAAATACCCTTTTTATGGATTGGTGCATTTAAAATATGTAAACCATTGAACCATAAATATTTATGTGTGACTATAACTATTTTTTCAAGTATGGAATTCTGCTGAGGTTTATGATTTAATATTAAGGTTTTATAGATTTCTTAGCTTCATTCTCAGCAATTACTGCATTCTCTCTGCCAAGCTCTGGACTTGATACTCATGGGCCAGAATGAAACAAAGGACCTATCTACCTGACTTCCAGATTCTAGAGGCCTTTCTACAAAGGTAGGTGAGAATAAAATGCAAAATTGTAAGTTGTCCTAAGTTAACTTGACTTTCTGGGAGCACCACACACAAAAATTCCACAGTGAACAGGAAAACATGATTTTGGCATTTAATTAAAGCTGTTGTTAAGAGTCTGCAGCACTTTTGAAATGTTTTAGGATCTCTGCTTCTGGGAATAAGAGGGTGCTAGAGGTTGAAACCAGATCTTCTGCATCATAAACATGAAATCCAATACTGATGGAGTTACCAGCTCAAAATATTTTCAAGGTAATTGCCTTTTTACAGCAGAAATTACTCAAACATCTTTTGAACAATAGCTGGATTTTTTTCCTGGTTACCTATCCTGCCTGCCGCTTCTGGGATGTTTTTTTTTGTTTTTTGTTTATTGTTTTTGTTTTTGGGTCCAGTCGTGGGGCCTAAACTCTGGGCCTGGGCGCTGTCCCTCAGCTCTTCAGCTCAAGGCTAGC